TCCTGCTTTTTCTGTGATTCTTGATTTTTGTTTGAAAATGAGACATCATAAATCATTGTAAGCTCTTTCCTGAACCCCTGAAGACAGCAGTCAGTACCACACATCACTCAATACAGCTGCAGTAGCTGCATTTTCACTTTTTGTGTCTGTATGAGATTGGTGTTCGATTCTACCAGCGCAGATCACTGCAGAATACGGTAGCTGTACTGTCGTTCCCGCTCACATTTCAAAAAAACTCACAAAGAACTGAAGGACATGTGAGGCTTAATCTTTATGGTTCAGTTACTAAATATAGGTTGGTCTGTGAAATCCAAGTGCTTCTCTATCACCCATCTCCTTGGGTAAGGCTTTGTGCAGAGTGCAGCGCTGAAGCCCAGCTGCTGAGAAGCTGACAGGTGCTGCAATACTTAAATGAATCCCAGGGACAAGCATGTTGCTGTCAGCCTTTGGTCAATATAAACTTGAAGCTCCTTTATCTATTAAAAAAGGGAAGATTTTATTTTCCACAGAGTCTGGTGTGTCTAGTAAGTACAGTCAGGCACTGAACTGCGAAGAGAACAAAATTTGTGTCCCGCTGCTTGCTGGTTAACCACTATTCATGCTGTATGCTGAACAAGACAGGGGTGTTGGGAGGTGGTGCGTGAGGAATCGAAGGCTATGTGGCGTGACAGATGTGCATAAGACATAAGGTTTTCCATCACCCAGTTGTTATTTATTTCATTTTTTTTTCTCGATTTTGAGCTACTCACTTTTATTGCAGTGTGAACAATGTTCTTCACAGTGTTATGTGTGAGCGGGCCTATAAAAGTTTGCAAGATCTTTTTAGAAAGCTGTCACAGAAAGCAAAAATCAAAATGATGCACGCAGTGGTGATGCAGTAGTAGTCCGCACAGGTGCTTTTGACTTGACCAGTGAAGTAAGGGGCAGCAGCTGGTTGTCATCCTCTTCCTGGCTGATCAGGAGTGTGAGAGGAGCACAGCTGGTCAGTGGGCTTGGTGGTTAACTATTGCCAGTGGTGGGATACTGAGAGTCTGGACTCCTGGATTCTGTTCTAGATCAGAAAGGGAGCTTGTTCTTTTG